GTTTAAGCCACTCAGTCTATTCACTAATCATTAATAGTGAATATATGTGATTCACTATTAGGTGCCTTTCTTCACTTTCTCAGCAAGTCTGTCTGCAACTCCTCAGTTGTCCAATACATGAAAACAAGCCCATAGCAAGTGGTGGTTTGGTCATTTGATTGAACATGAATTTTGTTATGGCAGTCTCAGAAGACTAATACACATATATTCACTATTTCAGAAGAACTGATCCTGCACTTTTTTATTATTCATTTCTATTTAATCTTCTAATTAGTGATTAGAATATGATCTTGGAAGTTAGACAGCCTCTGATTTGAAGACTGGATTATCTATTTAAGTGATCTTAGGTGAATTTCTTAAATATTTCTGAGCCTCAAATTTTCTCATCTGTAAAATGGGGACATATCTATCTCATAGAATTATAACAAGGATCAAATGAAAAGAGATGTGAAGTTCATAGCACAGTGTTTAGCATATAGGTACTAAATAAATAACTGGTAGACTTTAATATTATCTTTATATACAATGGGCCATTGACATTTGTTTTGTCAATTTGTCTTAGTTTTCTCCAAGCCTAGCCAGTTAAGCAAATTTTCATCTCTGTGCGAAGTGCCACACATGTATATACTTTCTACAATTATTTGATTATTTGGGGGGTATGAAAAGGCAGCTTGTTAGTTTCATTGTTGGCTTAAATTCAAAATCACAAACCCATCAAGTGAGTTATATTTTCAACATATATCATAAAAATCCTTCCAATGCATTACATTTATTTAAGTGATTTGATGATTTTGCTCCAAGGATTAAGCTTAGACTATTTCTTCTTTCTTGCAGTTCTTCAGACTTGTCATGTTAGGAAGAAATCATGGTTTATTCAGAAACTCTACCTCAGTAATTCCTCTCCACGAGTTATTCCAATTTGCAATAGAATGATTATCACCAGATCCAACTCTGAAGTTTCCAATCTGTGGGCTGCATGCAGATTATTTAAGGCCTTTTTTGCTTATCTCTGGTGTCAGATACAGCCAAAAGTATGCACAGATATTTTCTTTTGTTCATCTGCTGTTGTTAGTGTCTGTGTATCTAATGTGTGGCCCCAGACAATTTTTATTCTTCTAATGTATGATAGAAAAGAAAAGTGGTTGGACACTCCATTTTATAAGATATAATTTGTGGTTTGGTCTCCTTCCTGTTACCTTATAAAATAATATCTTATTGCTTATAAAATAATATCTTATTGCTTTTTAATTAATTACAGATGAAATGTGCTTCCATCGATATTTCATTATACTTCTCTCACCTAGTAAGATACAATTGTTTCTGCTGGCCCTTCACATATGCAATGCACTCTACCTCTTCCTTTCTATTCATTGCTTACATCTGTAAATTGGCATCACAAAATCCTCTGTCCACAGGATTTCTGTCGTTCTGTCTCTTGCTCTGATTGCAATTATGTTAAGATTTTTACTTGCTGTCATTTATTCAAGGTGATGTTTACCAGGCACTTACCATACCTTATACATTGTGATATCAACTGTGGAAGAACAAAAATATTTAAAATAGTCCCAGATAGTTCCCAGTCAAAGCATCTTAATGATATTTTTTTAGGCTTCTAATATTTCTTATATTTCTTTGTAAATATTTATTGACTGACTTGGCTTTTCTTACAATTCCAGTACTATTTGTTGTTCCATGGGAAGAGATAATCTAGTCTGTCACCGCTTTTTAACTCAAGTAGTCCATTGAATTCTGGTCCAGCATTCTCAAGAAGAATCTCTGCCAATCTGTTTTGTGTGTTTTTTCTTTCTCAGCTCTTCCCAATTTTTAGAATAAAAATTGCCAGTAGTTGGTGATAATATGGTGCTACTGATGGGTGGTTTAAGTAGTTTTGTTTGCAAACATTACATCTCATTTTGCTGTATTGGGTTATTTTCTTTCTTTGTTTTCAATCAAATGACCAAACCACCACTTGCTATGGGCTTGTTTTCATGTATTGGATAACTGAGGAGTTGCGGACAGACTTGCTGAGAAAGAGAAGAAGGGCACCTAAATCTGTTATTCTAGACAATAATTCCTAGTCCACAGAGAGAGTACCCCCCCACACACATACTTTTAAAACAAAAGCCAATCATAAAAAGAGGAATGCAGACTCTTGATTTAATTGGCACCCAGGGGCCAGGAAGAAGAGAAGAAAAAAAGGTAGGAAAAACAAGTAAGGATAAATATACCTGCTGTTAGGAATCCAATATAAAATTTGGAACCCTATCAAGTTTACACCAGAAACAGCATTTGTTTTCACCCTTATTTTTGCCACTCTCAAACATGATATAATTGGGTACCATCTCATACATCTTTAATAACCATTAGTAAACCAACTGTTTAAAACGCTTTAAGTGCCTGTTACAAGTGAAATATTGTGTGAAGTGCTAAACAAGCTAAGAGAAATTACACAATTCCATGTGTGTCTTCAAGAAAGCTACTGTGTAGCTCTGGCAATGAGAGACTATCAGTCAGTACAGAGAACCAAGAAAGGAGTAACAAAGCTATTAAGTACGGAAAAATCCAAAACCAGAAAGAGAGCATTGAGCTGGGGATCTGGAAAACGGAGCTTGATTCCATTTCCACTATTTCCTTGCTAATTGCTTGAATAAGTAATTTCTCTCCTTCAAGTCTCTGGCTTCCTTCTTCCTACTCTCTCCAGAGGAGGGGGCAGGAGAAGTGGGTAAAGAAGAAGAAAAAAAGAGGTCATTTTTACATCTGTAAGATGTAAGATAATATTTGGAATAATTACTAATGATGTTGTGATGCCCAAATTGAAGTCTATAGTTAGCCATGGTTCCCTGAGCTGCCCTTCATTTTGTAGACAAAGACATCTGGATCTGGATTTCCCCCTATTTAACAGAACCAAATCTTCCTATCCTGCACTTTTTTCCCCACCAAATAGTGACTCTTTCAAATTGATTATTGTGACTCAGTGAAGAAGTTTAAAATATAATCTTGACAAGGTTTACTAAGTGAGAAAAATGTTTCTTTGAAAATATTAAATATCTTTGTATACGTAAAGACAAAGGGGAAGGAGTAATTCTACTTATTAGAGAGAACAAGGTGAGCAATCAATTCCTTAGGATATGGAAGGCTATATCGTCTAAATCTTCTGAGATACAATTCCCTCTGGCAGACGTTAAGCCATAACAGTTTTATCACACATGAGTGCAAGGAGGAGGGCAGTGAGGGAGCCCAATTGATGCGCCTGAAGAGCATGAAAAGCTTCAACACACCTGTCCAATTCACAGTATTTCCCTGTGCTATACCCAAGAAAATCCTGCAGCCTCAGACTCCAGTGTCCAAGTTCGCACGCTTGCAGGCATTCTATTGATTCACACTAGCGTCCTTCAACAGGTAGCGCCAATTACAGCCCCCAGAGCACGACCTCCCCTATGGACTGGCCAATACCGCCGTCAATCAAATACCTCACCTACTTTTCTAAATGTTCCCCTCCCCCTTTCATTTGCTTTACCTTTGGCCTATCAGCAAATTTCTTCCGCGCCTCAATAACCACGGACCTTGGGCCTACTGGGTGCAGGATTGGTGCCGAAGCTACTCCCGCCCTTGGACGTCCCCGAGCACTCCGCCCCTTTGACCCGCCCCGCACGGCAGAAGCAGGAGGGGCGGGGCGAGTGAGGGGCTGGTTAGGGGCGGGGCTTGCCTCCCACGGCGGGAGGGCGGAGCCTGCAGTGGAGCTTGCCTGCTTGGTTAGGACCTCGGAGAGCGCCAGGCGCCGAGACCAGAGGGACTGGAGAAGCAGCCGGAGCCCGGCTGGACCGCGGCTGGACCGACGCCGGCGAGCCCGCCTCCCTCCGCGCCGTAGGCTTCCCGGGCTGGCAGGCAGTCGGTGGCGTCTGAGGAAGGTGCCTAAGTCCAGGGACTGACAGTCATCCCTCTGGGACGCCGCCGTCCAGCCGTTGCTCCCTCACACCTGTGTGTGTGCGTGTGTGTGTGTTTGTGTGTGAGCACCGCGCGCGAGCGTTTCTGTGAGGGTGTTTGTGTGCGTTCCGGCTGGGCGCGCGAACGTCTGTGTGAAGGTGTTTGTTTGTTCACGCGCCCGCGGGCGAGAGCCCCGCGCCTCAGCGCTGGGTCCGGGGGAGGGACAGCTGGAGAGGCGGCTGTGCGCGCCCAGCAGGCTGAGGCGGGACTCGGGCCGCAGCCGTCGCTGCCACCGCCTCGAGTCCCCCGAGAGCTGCCGCGGTGCTGCGGGGAGAGCGGCCTCAGCGGACAGAGGAGGAGGGAGGGGGGAGATGGGGAGATGGGCTCGGAGAGGGGAGGGTGAAGTCGAGGGACAAGTGGAGGCAGCTGGCGTTGCCGCTCGCCCCTCCCGTCGGCTGTGCCTGTGGGCCACTGGCAGGTGTTTTCAGGTCCCGGCTGTTAGGGGTAGGGAACAGAGGCCTCTCCCCCATTTCCTATTGAGGAAAAGGGTGCGCTGAAGATGATGTGGGAGAGCCCGGAAGGTGGTAGCAGAGTAAATACCGGCTCCCTCCAACATTGTTTTTCTGAAAATAAAATATTCTGAGCTGAATGTTTAGAAGGAAGGCCCTCCCTTAAGAAGAGAGTGTTGGTCTGTTGGACTCTGGTTTGATTGTATAATAATGATGATATAATGTTAATGACGATGATGACACTGCCTTTTATTTTTACCCCAGTGCTGATAAAGCGTAGCTACAGCTGGGACTGCTAGAAAAGCTGATATATCAGGAGGGAATACTGTTGCTTTTGGAGTTATGTTTTATTTATCTATTTTTTTTTTTTTAAGAATACGCTTTTTGAGAATTAAAATTTGACATAATGAAGCCTGACTCTTTTTTTCCGGTCGGTTATAGCCAATTCTCATAAAATTGGGAGTTACTGCCTTGATTAATGAAAAGATAAAGGCTTTTGCTCAGGTATAATTTCATGTATTGAGTCACCCCCTTCCTTGTTCTTTGAATTTCTCGACAGTGTTTAAAATGAAGAAGTTTAATTTCCGAAAAGTTTTGGATGGCTTAACTGCCTCCACCCCTGGCAGTGGTAGCAGCAGTGGCAGTAACAGTGGTGGTGGGGCTGGAAGTGGTTCCGTACATCCAGGAGGGACTGCGGGGGTTCTCAGAGAAGAGATCCAGGAAACCTTGACTTCAGAGTATTTCCAGATTTGCAAGGTAAGTTTTGAGTTGGCATAAGGCCTATTATTTCTTTATTACACTGTTGTGGGGAGACAGAGGGAAAAAACACACCAGAGACTAGAAATTATTGCGATGCCAGCATCAAAGTCTGGTGCAGAAAAACCCTGTGGACAGGTCAGTTTGAAATAATAAAGATATTTTGGGCATCAACTCAGTGTCATCTTAAAAAGCGATGATAGTTTCAAGGGGAAATAAGCATGTATAAATAGTTGAATTTGCAAGCATTCCAATAGTGGACAATTTTTTTTTAAATATGTATAAGTAGAAAATTGAAGGAGAAAATAGTCATTTGGTTTCCAGGGTTTGTCATTCAGAGAAATTGTTATTTCACTGTTCAGTATATAAAGACAGCTATTAGTGTGTTTCTAGAATTAAGTAGATAAATGTCTACTTAAAAGGGTCCAATGGCATTGATTTAAATTTTTGAATAAAAACACTCTCAGATTGATTCTCAAACCTTTCATAAATACACAAACAAATGCACAGGCTTAATACCTGGAATAACTTGTAATACTTGTAAGAACTCAAAAACAGCCAATGTTCTGCTTTAGTAAGAAAATATTTTAGGTAGTTATACTTTGTTGTTAATGAATAAGCAGACAGTTTCTCATGAGGAGGGAAGATGAGAATTTACAAAACAAGCATTGTGTTTATGCATAGAGATATTGTTATACTTTCTGAATTAAGTGATTTATAATTTTTACTGTGCATTTTCTGGGTTGCCTTGGAATGTGCTTTTAACCTATATGCAATAAAAAAGTTACTAAGTCATTCATGTGCTACAAATGAATATAGTTTTATAAATGTGTTTGACTAAGAAGAAATAGAAAACTTGTGAAATCACAGAAATTAATTATGAACTATTTTGACACTTTAACAAAAGTGCTAAAAAATTATTCAGTGTTTTTGTAGTAAATGATGTATAGTGAGTTTCAATCATTGCCTTAGCCTCTATCTAGCAGGATCATTATAAAAACATTAAATCTTTAGTTATTAGTTTATATAAAAGCAAGTTTAGGTTTGATAAACAGATTAAATTTTAATCTACCCTGTGAAATTTGTATACAATAGTGACATTTTTTCCTCAATGGGAAACAGATATTCTGTAAGATTAGGGGAGGGCTTAATAGTAGTCATGAGATGAATGTGTAAAAGTGTCCTGGAGGCCAAATTTGAATTGCTATATATGGAAATTTTGCCCTGATTTTTATTATTTTTTTGCCCTGATTTTTAAATCTTTGACATATTGCTATTTTCATTATCAGATTCTGCAAAAAATTTACAAATTCAGTTTGTAGATGTGATAATGATACAGGAGAATTTTAGTGGATGTAAAATTGATACAGAAAAGATAGACTACTGAAGCAGAATGGCATTGGGTTATTGAGGTTATAAGGCTGGTAGAGAAAGTTTTAAATACAAAAATTTAAATTTTCAGGGAAATGGGTAAATGCAAAAGAAGAAAATGGACTAGTCATCTTTCTATTTATTTAGACAAGAGATAGACATGGGATGTGGCAGAAGTTAAATACATACTAATTTAAAAACATATGGCATAGTAGGAAGAGTATTACCCTAGGAAACAGATAATTTGTGTTTTATTTAAAGCTCTGCCACTTATAATCTTAGGCAAGTCATTATCTCCTTTGAGCCTTGATTTCTACCCTTGTAGGATAGAAATAAGTGTTTCTACTCTCCTTAACTAAAAAAAAAATATTGGGAAGATCAGACAAGACAATAAAATGATGGCAATGTATGAATGGAAAGAGTAATAAAATGTATATGTTATTTTAAAGTTTTTGAAATCACCTGTTCATAGTAGAATGAAAATAACCAGTGGGTTATAATAATATTAGGTTATGATTTTCAAAAAAATTATAGAGATTTAAGCTGTGTAACCTGTGCACTAATAGCATTGAAGTATTACTAAATGCAGAAAATATTATGAGCTAGTATTACCTATGGTATCTTTGGTTAGGAATATAGTTAATTTTAAAAAGTAGTTATATGACTGTATTGTAGATTACCTGATCTATAGTAAAATATATAAAAATGGATTAAATTTCAAAATTAGAACTGTTAACGAAATGGGGACTTTTTCTAGACTCACTGATTAAATGTGCAAAGAACATTCTATTCTGGGTACTAAGGAGTTGGCATCTTCTGGATACTTTTACATTATTAACATGGCCAGAATTAAAATATAAATCTAGACTCTGCTCTTTTATAAACTATCCTCCTCTTTATTATCTGATCAGTCATCAAATCTTATCTATTCTGTTGCCTTGCTATTTCTGAAATTTGTGCCTTTTTCCATTCCACCAGTACTTATTCATTCCATTATTTTTTCATTGGTATCTTGAATTCACTTCCTAATTGATCTCCTCACTTCTTATTTTACCTTATAATATTTCAGTTTGTTATAATAATAGTTATTTTGAAATACAATGTTAATTATGTCATTTTCCTGCCAAAATTCTTATAGATTTTTCTAGAGTTCTGATGCTTTTCAAACAAAAGTCTTATATGAAGCTCCAGCAGATAATATCTATTGAAACAAATAAATGTGATAGTTTATTGGCACATATTTGTTTTATAAGTTATAAATTATACAGCCAATCAATAATAATTTTGTATTGTTTTTATAACACAATATCATCCATATATAGGTAGTAGGGTATTAGTCTTAAAAAGTTAAATTATAAAGCTACATAATCATAAAACCTTTGTAATCAATGATACACACACCACTACCACACACACACACACACTGATCAAAACCTCAGAAATGACAGAAGCAGCTTTGGGTCAAGGTCAGCAAAAAATAAGTTAATTCATCAGGTTACTGTAATCTGTTTTAAGTACAGTATGTATGCATTGGAGTGCCCATGTTTTTCAGGTATTTATGAAATATATGAACTGTCTTTCCTGAACTTGAATTCTATGAAACACATTTTAAAATCACTGCTATATATAATAAATTTGAAACTGCGTGACTTGATATGTATACAGTTCCTTTTAGGAGAGAACTTCCATTATCATTTCCTTGATTCCCTAGTAATGCAGTATTTCCTGAAAGCATCATATTTTCTCATATTTAAATGCTTTTACTCAGAACAGAACGCCTTTTCCAACTTTCATATAACTAGAGAACTTACAGTTACCGTTTACCTCATACTTCAAACATCAGCTTTAAGAGACCAACTCTGACTACTGCCTTCTCATCTGTCCACCAGGGTTATTTATTCCCCTCTTTTCTGTTTTCCTGTATCACCTAGCATATACCTATAGTGTGGATTTAGCACCTTCTTGTAATTAAAAATATTTTAAAAAAATCTGTCACTGCCTTTATACTATGAACTCTTTGAAAAGCAAATATAATTTTTTCTTTTCTTTTTTTTTTTTGTTTTTATTGCCTGTCCACTACCTAGCAGGCTAATTGTCCTTAATCTCTCTAAGAGAGATTTTCAAGATGACCTGAGTCTTACAGGATCAGAATCTCTAGGGATGGGTCCTAGGCCCTTACATTTTTTTAAAAAGGCCCCGTGGGAGATTCTGATAGTCAATGTTGAGAACCATTATATATAATAGGCACTCAACATACTTTTTAAATGAATGAAGCATTATATGCAAGGTTGGTTGATTAATTGAACACAGTTTAAAATAGAAGGCTATTAATGATATATGTCAAACATTTAAATATACATCATTTTACAAATCACTTGGTAAATGACCAAGATTTTTGTTGCATATTGATTCTCTGATCCGAGTTCTGTATGAACTGCTATTCCATAAGCCAACCCAAATTCACATGTATAATTTTCAGTTTTAGTTTATATAGAGTAAGAACTTACATGCTTTTGAGGCCAACCAAATGTCAAATTCTCTAGATTATACAGACAGTCATGTATTGTTTAACAGTGATACATTCTAAGAAATGCATTCTCAGGCAATTCAATCATTGTGTCAATATCATAGAGTATACACCAGGTTGTTGTATTGGATACTTAGACAATTGTAACACAATGGCAAGTATTTGTGTAACTAAATCTATATAAATATAGAGAAGGTCCAGTAAAAACACAGTATAAAAGATAAAGAGTGGTACACCTGTTTAGGGTACTTACCGTGAATGGAGCTTGCAGGACTGGAAGTTGCTTTGAGTGAGTCAGGGAGTGAGTGGTGAGTGAATATGAAGGCCTAGAACATCACTGTACACTTTTATACAATGGGCAGTGCAGAAAGTTCGTTAACATAAACATCACCACAAACACATGAGTAATGCATTGTACTGTATTCCTATAGTATCATTGGGCGATAGGAAGTTTTCAGGTACATTATAATCTTATGGAACTATCATTATATATGCAGTCCACCACTGAATGTCATCACACGGTGCATGACTGTATATGTGTATATATTATATATATATTTTTCTTAATCCCTGTAGTTAACTGACCCACACCTAATTAGGCTGGGAGCAGGAGAATGTGGGTATTTTATTTATTTACTTTTGATTGTTTTTGTTTTTTTGTAAGTACACTCTGTTATGAATATGGGCATTTTAGACCGTATTTTACTAGTTTTATGCATTTAGTGAACCATTTATATTCATCTGTATATTTAATTATGTAAAGAGAATGAAGAGTTTTTCTTTAGCTAGGAAATTCATTAAGTTAAAATTATTTTAGAAAGCTACATCTGTAAGATATCCCATTTGACCTATACAGTAGCCATAAAGCAAGGCAAAGAATGTGTCAATATTTTAATTTTCCTGAGAAGTCATTTGAAGCCAGAGAATTTAAGTGGTATCCTAGGTCTTCATGTTGGTAAGAGACATAGCTTTAACACTCTGTTCTTTAATTCTTAATCCATTTTTTTTTTTGCTTCATCTTCCTTATATTTTAGAAAAAGTAATAATATGACAAATTTCTCAAGAAACAAAGAGATTTTGAGAAGGTAAAGATTATTCTATT